CTCTCAAAGGCCAAAGCTAGAACAATTTGAGAAACAAAATGAAGTATTACCCAAAGAATAAAATAAAATCCATGACCCCATAATTATATTGCTAAATAACTGAATTCATCAATAGAAAAAAATCCCCCATGCAGAAAAATCCTTCAGAAGGGTTGACACTGCACCCTCAAGAAAGCATAACCTCTACAGTACAGAGAGGAAGAAAGGAACTCTACAGCAAAGAAACTTTATTCGCTACCTCAGCCAGGTGACTGAGGGCAGCATCAGCACTGGTGAATCTTGTTGACAGTATGGGCCCTGGATACGATAGGATGAAAGTGGCCTTCCTAAACCCCAGAACCCCAGTCTAACCATGCAAAAAACAGGCAAATGCCAGAGAGGTTCATTCTATAAAAACCTGCTTAGTACTTCTCAAAGTGGCCCAAGTCAAAAACAAAAAAACCTCAAATTGTCACAATGCAGACGACATGGTGACTAAATGTAATGTGGAATCCTGGGTATTACCATAGAACAAAGTAAAAAATGGAAATTTGATGTCAGAATTGGTTCTTTAATTGTAATAAATGTACCTACCAAAACTGGATGGGGGATGCAAACTCTCTACTACCTTTTTCAAATTTTTTTTTGTTAATCTAAAACTGTTGTAAAAAATAAATACTATAAAAATGTATTCTAACTCAGTCTTTCTGGGTTCTTTTTATTTATAAAAATAAAGGTAAGTAGAATATCCAGTGCTTTTTCTCTTTTAATATGCATGTGGCTTTTAACAGTTCTTTCAACTGTGTCTTTTACTAGCCATTGTCTAGACTTTAGATGCAAAACAAATAAAAATGGATCACAGTAATGAAAACTTCTATACTATGGTTGAATTCAGTAATTTCAAAGATACCGTTTCTCTACTAGGATCGTACCATAAATTTCCACTGATAAATTACTAAACAATTTCTACTGAGAATTCTTTCATCATCAGCAAGGCAACTTTACGGTATCCCCAGCTCCTTCAATTAAAGAAGTTGCATTTTAGGGCAAGGAAGAGGAGAGACTGAAGTGAGACTTAAGCTGGGACTTTGTGAGGGGCAGTGCGCCACATTTTCTAAGATAAATGCTACAGTTTGCAATAGCATAGATGCACACTCCAAAGAGACTGTCAGTAGCTAAGAAACAGCCCCCTTCCCCATAACAGAAGGCCTTTAAAGCAGAAATGGTAAAAGATTCTTTTAACTGCAAGCTTTTCTATATATACTCTATCTGTATCTGTATACTTAACCTATTTAAGCAACCTGGGATAGTCTGCCTTTCTTTTTTCCTTTGTAAAAGGTTCTTGTTTTTACTTTTCAAGGTTGCTAGGTTGCTATATTAGATAATGCATTATTAAGCATATGGTGCTGAAATCAAGAAATTGATTTCCAGGTACGTACTTTTCTTCACTAGCAGTGAAGAAAATGGCTGATAATGGCATTACAGTTGGTAGAGAAAAGTGAGTCATGAGGAATTTGTATGATTGACAGAAGCAGCAGTTGACAAGAACTGCTATTCTTAGTGCCATACGGGCACTTACAACATGCAGATATGAAACCTAGGCCCAATCTTTTAATGATTCATACCAGAATTGAAGCCTATAAAAGGAAATGATAGGTATTCTATTAATAAAGGCAAAATATAGTTCAAGTTTCTTAGGACTTACTAAAACTTCATGGGTTCACATCTGGATAATATCATTAGAAAGGATTCTGTATCCGCTACAGTCATACTAAAAACAAACACTACAACTAACCTAGGGACAGAAGGGAAATGAAGTACAGACTGAAATGAGATTGAAAGGCGAACCTTTCTTGTACGTGGGTCTCTAGGACACCCACTACCAACTGAGGTGAGCTTTTTTTAAGCTGCCACTATTCCTCCTGTTTCTTTTTATTAGTGAATTTGTTTCTGAATCAAGCAGTTTCTTCACACTGTCTTCACACCAGGGAAAGGGAAATGTCAACATACTTTCAGAGGATGCTTCTAATGTGTATACCACCGTAAAATTTAGGAGGCGCATCTCTGGGCAGAACCATGAGAAAAGGGCACCGGGTTTTTCTTCGTTACCTCACAGAAGCTGGGTGGGGCCTCCTCTCACTCCCTGAACTGAGCACAGCTATGTGCAGTGGCCTTGCCTCCAACTAAGGAAAATGACGTGCGAAGCACATTAACTTAGATCGCACTCGGGACGTTGCGCTTGCGAGGCAGGTGGCGGCACCACCAAGCTCACTCCCCGGCCCAATTAACTTACCTTTACTAAGATGCAGACAGCACAGGTATTAAGCCAGTTTCTGCAGCAGAGATCTTATTGCTATCAATGGCCGCCTCTGGAACGAAATCCTTAAGGCTTCCGCTTCCTGGCCACCGTTTCAGAAACCCAAGAGTGAAGAAAAACTGCGTGCCTTCTCGAGGCGTGGAACTGTATGCAGTGCGCGGGAGCGTGGAGGGAACCCCGGGCCCAGGGTGGAAGGCTGTTTGCAGCCACGGCAGGTCAGGACCGCAAACCAGCCGGGCTGAGTGGGGAAAGGTGGGTGCCGCTAAGGAGGGAGAGAAGGAAACACGAGGCCGCAGTTCGAAGGGCTCAACCCCAGCTTGGCCACCCTGCTCCCCTCCCGTCCCCCAGCTCTGAGCGCCAGGATGGACCTGGTGGTCAAAGGCCCCGCGCCAGGTACCTCGGCCACGCGCCTGAGGGCAAGGCCAGCCACCCCACGTGCTGCCCGGTGGGAACGCAGCCAGCCAGGCCAAGAAAGAAGCAGCAATCCCTAAGCGCCCGCGCTTTAGCTGCTTTTCAGGACTCCCGGAGCCCTGCTCACAACAGCTCGGTAAACAGGTGAGTGTAGACTCACACAGTCAATCACCGACCTTTCGACGCCCGCCACCTGTAACGCCGCGGCTGTGCAGGGTGCACACGCCGGTGCTGGCCCGAGATGGGCGTGGCTTCTCCACACCGGACACTGCGCCTGCGCCTCAGCCTCCACCACCAGCACCTGCGCTCGGTAGCCTTGGGGGTCCTCGTGGTGGGCGGGTTCACCAAAGCTCCTGGGCCTCTAGCGGGGATTCATCCGCCGGAGAGCCCACCCGTCTACGCATATCAGAAAGGGGGCTTTTGGCTTTTTTTTTTTTTTTTTTTTTTTTTTTTTTTTTTTTTTTTTTTTTTTTTTTTTTTTTTTTTTTTTTTTTTTTTTTTTTTTTGCAGTACCAGGCATTGAAGCAGGCAAGGCACAACTGAGCTAAATCCCCAGCCACCGCCTTTTGACTCTCATTTGGGAATTTTTTGCCAACTCTTGTTAGGAGAAAGGGATTCAGGGACTACTTTTTACCAACTGGAGTATGACCCGAGATAGAAAAAGTTGAGAACCCTCTATGCAGAAAGAATTTTGAAATATGAAGTCCTAAAAATTTTATCAGTATGGGCTAATTGCTAATCATTTATTTCTTCAAGTGGATGAGAAGATCCAACTTATTTTGAAAGTAGTTAAATGTAAAATGCAACCCCCGCTTCCTCCGTCCGCCTAAACCAAGGTTCCCTACCTCTTTTCTTCCACCATGTTTTAGCCAATCAGGTGCTAGCTAACTCATCTGTGAATCGCAGTACCTAATACAAGTCGCCAAAACAATTTATAAACTGTAGAACAGTAAAGTTTGTTTTTTCCTTCATTTTCACTCTTTCAAGAGCCTTTTTAGACACTTCCCCTCAACATTCTGCTTTTTCACCGCATGGTAAAATTAAATACAGCAATAAGGAATGCAATTTTGTCAGGTAGGGTTGAACTTCGGAGAGTCAAACTCTTGATCTCAGATATTTTCCACCCCTACCCCAACAATCATCACCCTCTTGGGGACACTACTGTCCCATTGCGAATACATGATGTAGCTCAGCTTTACTTCACAGAATATTCTCTGTAGAAACTATTTTTTTTTTCAGACTTTGTCTCTATAAAGATTTGTTGTTCAACAGGAACATGCTAAAAAGAGAAAACACACAAAATTCCCCTTGTCCCTTATCCTAAACCATATGTTTTGTACTCAAGGGAGGAACTAGGGTAAAAGGAAAAAGAGCAGGCCTGGGGTGTAGCTCAGTGGCAGCGCGCCTGCCTCGCAAGTGCTATGTCCTGAGTTCAATCCCCGGTACCAAAAAAAATAAATAAATAAATAAATAAGATGAGAAGTTAACTCTGTTCAGTAGATGGTTGAACAAACGCTGTCACAATACCAAGAAGACCAAACTAATAAGGTGCACTGCCACTGACCAAATGGGTGGTCACCTCTGTTCGGAAGTGTCAGGCCCCAGGGCTGCTTATCTGCCTTCTAGTTCTCCACTGCTACGGTCCTTGTTTTAATTCGTAAATTACCTTGGTCTTGATTTCTTAGTTTTTGTTCGCTGTATATTTATTACAGCTGCCTTAAATTATTCGTAAAGGAAATATTTAGTATTGTTTGTATATATGCGTAAATATAAATCAAGAAAAGCATGCACTTTATCTTAAACACCAAGAGGAAGTTACCATTTTTTTTAATTGCAGAGTGAACCCAGAGCCTTTGCAATGAGCTGCATCTGCAACCCATTCTTTATTTTTTATTTTAAGTCAGTGGCTTGCTAAGTGACCAAGGCTGGGCTTGAACTTGTGATCCTCCTGCTTCAGCCTCTCAGAGTGCCTCACTGAGATTCTGCCACCATTCCCAATGCAAACTACCAATTAACTGCTAAGCTAACATCAATCAATAATCATTTAGTTGATGTACTCTAAATACTGTGGATACTTGAGGGCAGGAACCATATCCTCTTAACCGTAACGTGATGGCAATCGGTTTCCTCAATGGCCCAGAAATGGTCTCATCTACTCATGTAGTATTTCAGTCTAGACACCAAATCGCTGTTTAAGATTGTATGAATTGGTATAAATTTGCAGAGTTGAATGTATCATCTCATTTATTTTTATATCATAAAGTTACACCTCTACTTCTGATACATATGACCGTAAAATAAATATTTTGTAAAGATTATACACAGACACATGAAGCTAATGAAGCAATATAAAGTGAATGTGCTGGATGCTGTAATGGAAAAAAGCCCAAGATGAAATTTCAAAAGTAGAAAATGTACTTCTTGGTTTTTGTGATAATCTGAAGTTCTATATTATAGTCAGTTGTTAACACATATTCCGCTAAACTTGAAGGCAACTCCAATACATATGACATACTTCCAAAGTATGATTTACACCTGTGTAGACTGGGTACCATTACAATTGAGCCATCAGGGACTCATAAAAAGGAGAAGTCTCTTTACTACTTCCTCTTCTTTTTGAGAGACCAAAGTTATTTGTAAGTCTCCAATTCTTAAAAAAATTTTTAAAGATCAGATAAAAACACTTTTAAAATGTAAAATATACCGTCTTCTATCTTCTATAAAAGAGTGGACCGTTCAAAGATTTAAAATTTCAAATCCTTTTGGACATTCCAAAGTATATCTGCACTCTTCTTGAAAAGGGCTTCCTCCTGAGAGTTTAAATTGACTTTCACGATATCTGAGACACCATTCTTCCCCAAGATACAAGGAACACTGAGAAAGATTTCTTCCTTTACTCCATATAAGCCCTGAAAGGTAAGATGAGATTAGTGATCAGTGTCCTGATACAGCGGCTGTGCAAGAGAACTCCCAGAAAAGGGTATACAGGAGAGAAAAATCAAGAAAAATCACCTGGAAGACAGCAGTTACTGTCAACAAAACCAAGAACCTTCTTAAGTCCTTATGACCACATGGAACTTAGTTCAGTGACACAAAAAACATGCCAGTGGCCAGTCTATCTTGCCCTTTCCTTACTGTCCATCTTCATGGGAAGGGGAAGGGTGCTGTGCAGTCCTTCATGAGGCCATTTTATCTGATGAAGGACTGGGACAAAGGAGCCTGTCTGTATATCAAGGGAACGATAAAGGCCGAAGTAGAAGATGATGCTTCATACCTGTTCGGCCAAGGGCACCACTGAGGTTAGAGAGATGCGACCTCAGGCCTCTGAACAGGAATCCCGCGATGGGCTATGGGTACTCTGGTGCTTTGTTTGTTTTTGTGGTACTAGAGATTGAACCCAGGGCCTTCACAGTGAGCTATATCTCCCCAGGCTTTTTTTTTTTTTTTAATTTTTAGATAGAAGCTTGCTAAATTGCTACACTGCCCAGGACTGGGCTCCAGATTGTAATTCTCTTGCCTTATCCTTCCAAAATGCTGGGATTGTACGTGTGCACCACCACACCTAGCTTCCTGTGGTACTCTTTAACATGCCAAGCAGAGCCTTGCCACAGAATGTACTTCTGCCCTCTGTGTCCCTAACTACCACGTCTAGCTGAGTTCTACTGAGGTCCTCCATGATGGACAGGGCCGTGGGATAGGTGCAGCTCCTGCCCCTGCTCTGTCCCGGGCCTGTGGAACCTCTGTTAAGTGGCCCCAGTGTTTCTTCCACTCCTGCATCCAAAGCCAAAACTGTAGAAGCAGCTATGAGAGGCTATCACGACCTGGGCAGGCTGCATATCTTCCCACATGCCCACTTCTGCTACGTCTGTACTACTCACCCACATCCTGCCCCTGGAAAATGAGGAGACCCTTGCCTCCACCACTCCACACTCTTTTACTCCTCCTCTTGTGGAGCTAAGTTAGTGAGAGGACACAGAAAGAATTTCCTCCAGGTCTGATGATAAACAGCTGCCAAGAACTGGGCCTGGTGGCACACGCCTGTAATCCCAGCACTCAGGAAGCTGAGTCGGGAGGATCACAAGTTTGAGACCAGTCTGGGATACACAGCAAGAACCTGTCTCCACTGCAACCCCCCTCCACAAAAAGCAACAACAGCTGCCAGGAACTAGCACTAAGGGAAGGGACGAGGCCCCTGACGCTGGGCAGGGCCTCCCAGATTCCTGCAGCAGCTCAGAGCCCACCGGCACTGCTCAGCCTGTGGCCCTCTCACCCTCTCTGGGGCCTTCCTCAGGGACACAGGGTGCGCCCCACTTCGCTTCTGCTCCAGCAGATTCTCCCTGCAGAGGAAGTCTAGCTGCCTCCACCCCTGCAGTCCAGTGCCCTCATTTTGATAGCGGCTCCACACTCAGCTATGAGAGTTCCAGCTATCACCACAGAGGCCCCTGCCGGCCGTACTCGCTTTCCCTACTCTGTTCTCTGCCCGGATGTGGAAGGCCACTGTCCTGCCAGGCTGCTGGGCCACGTTCCAATGCGCCAGGTCCCGGCAGTCACACCTGCCTTCCCTTCCCTTTCCCTCCCTTGGTCATTCTTTTGCCACCCCTGTGTTGCTTTTGGAGCCTTAACATGAGCTTCTAAGGGTTAGGTGCCACCAGGGCCAAGGCCCTTCCGCTCCCCTTGTTTCCTTCTATTTCTGTTATCTCTCTTCCCTCTAGAAGGGTAGAAGGGTGTCTTGGCCTAAAATTGGAGAATGCATGACAATCCCACACACCATCTGAGGGCTATTGAGCGGCCTGGATGAAAGAGCCTGAGAGCCCTAGGCCTGGCCCGGCCCTGTGTCCTGAGCATGACCTGCTGTGGGCCATCTGTTTGCCTCCTCTTTGAGCTTCACACCTGGTTGCTATCATGTCCCTGGGATGCACTAAAAGTTGCTCTCGTTTGTTCTTGGACTGGCCACAGAACAGATGACTAAAGAAAATTCCCTATTTATTTGACTAAAAATAACCCAGTTCTTTTTTTTTTTTTTTTTTTTGGACAGGGTCTCACCATGTAGTTGAGACTGACCTGGAACTCACTATGTAGCCCAGGCTGGTCTTGAACTCACAGCAATCCTCCTGCCTCAGCCTCCCAAGTGCTGGGATCACAGGCGTGCGCCACTACACCTGGCTTCCAGTTCATATATTAATGTGAAAAAACTCTGTACCATGATTCGTTCACTGAAAATGTGAAGTAGTAGCCATGAAATAATTAGGAAAAAAGAAAGAATAATTTGCTCTCACTGTGAGAGCATTTCCTATAAAATAGCTTGTCTGTTGATTGTTAAGGTGACTGAATCCTCACATTATTCCACCTCTTCTGAGTACTCACTTGGCACCTCCCTGTCGCAGCAGGGGAAGCAAAGACAGAAGGGCGCCCAGGAGATAATGCTCTTCCTGGTCACATCCCCGGGAACCAGCCTCTGACCCGGCCTGCCTCCTAGCAGCACGCTGAGCTCCTGAATCCATTTGTGGGTGATCCACTGATACGCATAGGATCCCATCCACGATCCAATCATCTTCCAAAAGCACCGCCTCTGAGCTCATGCCTCTTCCCTTCTAGGGCTAATGCCTCCACCCATGCTCCAGTTCCAGCCCCTCTGCTTAGCACTTCTATCTTTCACTTCTCCCTTGGTGCCTGATGTTTTACCATTAGCACCTTGTCTTTAGAAACAGACCTCTTTTGGCCTGATTTTCCTCTCTAATTACTGCTCTCTCTTCTTAACTTCATAGCCACACATCTCAAAACAGCAATTTATACTTATCTTAATTTTCTGTCTACTCCAGTGGTTCTTGACCAGCAGTAATTTTACCTTTCAGGGGGACATTTAGTAATATCTGGAGACTTTTAATTAATTTATTTATTTTGGGGGTTGGGTACCAGAAATCGAACTCCTCAGATCCTTGCACTTGCAAGACAGGCAGCGGAACCACTGAGCTAAATCCCCAGTCCAATTTTATTTTATTTTTTGAGACAAGGTCTTGCTTTGTAGTCCAGGATGACCTTGAACTGGTGACAATCCTCCTGCCTCAGCCTCCTGGACTTTTATTTTGTCTTATTTGGTGCTGGGGATTAAACCATGGATCTCATACGTGCTAAGCATACGAGTAACTACACCCCCAGCCTCTGGAGACATTTGGATTGTTACAACTAGGGAAGAAGGTACACTACAAGTATCAAAATGGAAAATTTCCTACCATGATGGCTTTTGAAACAGAAAATAAAATAAATGGGGAGTGATCAGAGATGTGGCTAACATTTCACAATGCACAGAATAGCCTCCCACAATAAAAAATTATTTGCTGAAATGTCAAAAGTGAGTACCCTTCACTTGATCTTAGCCAAAAGACCAAGAAGCGATCAAAAGTGAGAACCGAGGTAAAATAAACCCGGGTGTTCTCCAATCAGGCTGCCATTCTTATTTATTGAGTAGTTCCTGCTAAGGTTATTAGTGAACTCTGTCACTTTATTCTACTGATTTTTTTTTCCCCCTTTGGTACTAGGGATCAAACTCAGGCCCTTGTGCACCAGAACCACTGAGCTAAATCCCAGGCCCCAAAATTCATAATTTCATTTACCCTAAGCAAAGGATATTCATTGTCTTTCTATCTAACACCTCTTTTTTCGTTGACAAACCACTCTTTTCCTTTTAGCAACTGCCTTTCTCCCTACTGACTAGTATCATGGGAGTGGATTAGAAAGGCCAATGGTCTGGAAATTAATACAGACAAAAAGAGAGGTGGCGTCCTGAGATGGCAGCCCTAAGCGTACAGCTACTGGGAGCCATCTTTGCTGAGCCACCAAGCCAGGCTTATTTTTTTTAATTCTGAGGCAGGGTCTGTCTAAATTGCTCAAGCTGGCCTTGCTTGAGCTGGGGTTGGAGGAGTGTATCATCATAACCAGAAGGGTCTGTATTGTTTGTTCACCATTATATCCTCGACATCTTGTAGAATACCTAACACACAGAAGGGACTCAATATATATTAAAGGGAAGAATGATAAATCTTTTTTGTTTTTACTTAAGCCTACCTTAACCAGAGTAGAAACTGGATGTACTTTCCTAAGATTTTTCAAGATTGATCCAGCCAGATTTGTCACAGACAGTCCAATAGCCCAAGAGGTATAGCCCTTCAGCTTGATGACCTCATAGGCACTGCAGTTGCAGAAAGGAAAGAAACCAGATTTAGGAGAAATCAACTCAGAGAAAGCATAATAGTCTTCAAGCATCCATTTTGAAGAAATCTATATGTCACTGTATTAAAATTTTCTCAGAGATTTCTGAGAAATTATGAATTAATATCTATTATGGTATCTTAAAATAAAAGATTATCATAATTTTTATTCACTGTAAGAAGAATCAATTCATCCTGCTTTAAGCATAAAGAGAGAATACAAGGACATATATGCTAATCAAGATAAATCTACTTTAAAAAAAAAGAGATATATCTGGTTTTTAATATTTTTATACTGTTGCTTAAATATCCAAACATAGAATCTGATTACA